AGACATTTTGCTGCTCTGTTTGAGAGACACTGTAGCAAAGTGTTGGTGCTGTTGGATTGTAGGATTCCTGGAGTTCAGATAACCGGTACATGGATGTGAGGAAGTGCGCATTCATAGGAACAGTTTGCACCTATTGCTTTCTGTGGCAGCATTATTTCTCCCCGTATCAAATAGGAATATTCAGCCATCTACAATACCTTTAGTTGTTTAATAATAGTAATAATTTTAGAATAATTTTAGAAGCATTTTCTTTTATCCTATGATGTTTTGATTTAGAAAGATAAATTTAGAGACTTTATGTCAATTAAGGTCACTGCAGACAAATTGAACTGGGCAGATCAGGGAAGAAAGAAAACCCACATGATATACTGTTATCATAAGAAATCAATTTATCCTCTATACTCAGACATGACATTTTTGACACATGTCGAAAGACACTTCTTAGATTGAGAAAAGTAAGGTAATTAAAGTTTGTCTTGTATTCCTTATCATGTAATATAAAATCTAAAATATTCATAAACCAAGTCAGAATTAATTTCTTCATGACATATCAAGTGATTTAATAAACACTGATGACAGAAGTTTCACAGAGCTTGAGGACTGCAGCTTATTTTCAATGAAGTTTTCATGTTACCATGTAGTGTCTTAAGCCTTCTACTCATCTTTGCAGCATATTTCTTTCCTTTCAGGCAGTGGAGGAAGCTACTCATGTCTTAATATGACACTCTTTATGGTGAGCACATTCCCATGAGCTTAAAGTCAAAACATTTCACTATTTCAGTTTCCATCGGCTGTAATTTGTTGTCAGATAACTGTTTACGGTTTCTCATATGAAGGAGGTATCTGTAGCACAACTGCATGGACAGATTAGGCATAGAAATGTATGCACATTTCTGTGTTCTCAATTACATCTTTTGGAGCAATCAAACTCTAATAAAAAACAAAAACAAAAACACAAAATCAAGTCAAATGAACCTTTTCAGCTTATCTCGTACAAGAAAAATAAAGTCTACATTTGAAATGAGAAGCAAATAAATATGCAGACATTACATTTCAGTGCTCTTCTATGACTGTGTTTTTAAAGCAGCGAGATAACTGTATGTCCAATAGTAATAGTGGCAATCTGGATAATGACTTCTCATGATTCATGGACTAATCTGATTGTCCACTGGGATCATTAAAAACATCCTGCCTTCCTCTCATTTACATCATGGATATGTGTCCAACTGGCCACTGCTGGAGTCAAGATAGTAGACACCATTAATCCTAATGGTCTGATCTGCTGAGACCAATTCCTCATTTCTATTTATGAGTTCTCTGTACTGCAGAAAGCCACTTGTGCTTTATAACTTACAGAGGAAAGAAAAAGGGAGAGAAAAGAAATTTGACTTAGGATATCCCCTTTAACATATTTCATCAAAAGAATGGATAAAATATTTATTCAGCTACTGTCCTTTGCATTCCCATCAAAGTGAATAGAGAGACATTTAATAACACATGGAAACATTAAAGAAGCTTTTTATCAGAGTGGATGGGAACCTGCTCAGAACAAACATTCTGGCCTAAGGGAAAGTTTTTGATCTGTGAAGCTTAAGCTTTTGGTGCTTAAAACACTCTCGTATTGGATCATGTGGTCAATTTGCATGAAATAAATGATTTGCTTAAAACTTGTAAAACTATAAAATAGAACTCGACAAGTCATTAGCGATAAGTGGTATCGCACTGGCATTATACTAACTAACACTAGTGTAATCATTAGAAAACTGCTGCTACAGCAAAGAACAGGAGGATAATGGGGCCAGCCTATACTTTGACCTAGAGGTGTTAGATCACTGCCTCACACAGTAGATACCACACTGCAGTTCAAATTATTGACTATCCTTCTTCATTACTGGTCTACTCAATGTTCTGAGCCACTGCCCTTTATCATCTTTCACACAAAACAATTAGTTCAAGTTATAAAATTTATCACTTTTTCCATCTAGGAATAGAGGATCTAGTTTAGGCAAAAACAAAGAAAAGAAAAAAAAAGAACTGAATTTTAGTCTAGGAATTTAACCAAAGCTAGCAGAAAGAATAAAATTATTTACCTTTCTCCATTAGTTTTCATACTGTTTTTGTTTTCATTCTGAACTAGGAATTCAATGAATGAAGTTTCTGTATCTTGACAGAGGTTTTGGGTATAACATTTCTATTCTAGTTGACAACAAATGGTACTCAGCATCTAGTTAGCTTAGTTTTCAATTTCCAGATGATTTTTTTTTTTAAGACAAGAAGTGTTTGGAAAGTCATGGCTAGACATCTGGATTCGTGAAGTTTGCCTACCATTCATTTTAAGGCTAGAGTCATTCTATGATGATATTGGTAAATACCCAGTTGTGACTATTGCCAAGACAGGAAATACACGTAAAATCTAAGGTTTTTACCATTTGTTGCAGGGTGCCTTCAATGTATTGATTTTGTCAATGTGTCAACACTTTGTCAGTGTTTCAGGCATGTGAGTCAAGTTTGAGCAGCTCCAATGTGTGATATTTTATACAAATTGACGGATGAACTTAACTACATGCTTGTAAATTATTTGCCTGCAATCGTACGTATGCTGACGAAACGCAATAACATTAAGATTGTGGTGCTCAAATTTCACTGCTGTCTTCAAGATGATATTTTTCTCATGCATTCCTCAGGAGTATACATACTTTTGTAAAAGGAGAGGGATAAGTATGATGGTGCAGTTTCCAAGGCTCATTAGGATCTTAATTTCTCTTCTGAGTGTATCACCAAGCATGAGGCATGGCTTTGAGTTTCTGATGTGGAGCTGGAGCAGAGATTTAACAGCCTGATTGCATGTGGACTCTGGTGCAGTGAATACATGCTGGTGCATATGACTGAATCAATATTATATTTAACTACTTAATTTTATTTCACAGCTCACAACAAATTGTGCTTTCCAAATGACAATGACATGATAGCTACTGAGCATAAATGTCAGAGAAAGAAATTAAAAGGAAACAAGGAGACTGAAAACAGGTGTTACAACCAGAAAAGAAGCACGAGTAATATAAGAGTGCAATAGAACTGTTTGTGAATCTTTGGGGAAATTAAGTGAAAAATATTTTGGATAAAGTATGGTATCTGCATATCAGCTAAGACAGTACAGAAAGTCCCAGTTCAATACTCTGAGAGTATAGTTCAACACTGAGAGAGTAGAGGTGTTTCAGTCAGCAGCTGGAATCAGAACCTTGTCAGTGTTTACAGTGCATGACCTGGTTAGTATTGGCTAATTAAGAATAATCCTTAAGGATAAGAAACATAATAATTTTTACTGGTGTTTCATGAAGTTCATAATAAGTGGACTTGAGGGAACAACAGAAGATCATTTGTTTGACAGAAGAAAATAAGCTTTTAGTGTAGAAGAGGTATCATGAATATGTAACCTTATTATCACAGTATTATTCTTCGGAGTTTTTTAGTCTAATGAAGAAAAATAGAACTGGAAGCATTTCCGCACATGCTTGAGTCACTTGAACTTCATTGATTTAAAATTTATCTCTTAAAAATAAATTACTTTATTTGTTGAGAAATACATTTCCTTCCTATGGTGTCTGGAAGGTAATAGATTTTATGCACAGTATAATATTTTAAACATGAACAATTCTGAAGGGATCTCAGCCTCCCCGTGAATCTACTCAGCCTGTTAGTGAATACACTTTCTATGCTTCTTAACCTGTATACTTATGTGCAGGACATAAAGAAATGGCACCACCTCGTCTTCTTCTAGAGCATAGTCCAAGAAAGAAACCAGCAGCTATTGAAGGCAAGTTTGAGTTTTTTCTTCCTTTATTGGCTTCTACTCATTAACTTGACTCTCTGTTCTAATGGATTTTGTTTATAAATGTAACCTGTATTGCAAAACTGATCAAATGATTAGGCTTGGGACATGAAAGGTACAATCATATTTGCATGACAAGACATAAATATTCCTTATAGCAGTCCCACAGATGGCTCAGAGGATTTCCTGAGTGAAATAGATTACAGGATCGAGACTCAATCTGTAAAATGCTTTGGATGGTGTTCAGCCATGAATTGTCATCTAACTGTAAACATAATCAACATTATCCTCTTAATATACTTTGGATTAATCTTTCAGCTATTGTTATTCAGTCATATTTCTCTGTATTATCTGCAATAATGAACATAATATTTCTGGCTCTGCGTTTATCAACCTTATTCCTATTGTTAAAACCACTGAAAGAAAAATATGAAGCCAGATCTTGCCTTCAGAAGATTAAAACGTAATTCTTGCAATTGAATTATATTGTTTACAGTCTAATCATATCAGTAAAATAGTTGAAATATGCATTTTAATTTTAAAATGGACTATGTCCAATGACTTCGACTACTACTGCAATATACATTCTTGGTCTCTACAATATAAAATTTAATAGTACAAAACACGTGAGTCTTTTCAGGTAATTATATATATAGCAGTTTTCATATAATGCTTCGGACTCATTCAGTCACACTATGGCTCTTGCTAATCTCTCTCAGAGAGGTCTTAGTTCTATGTTATCCAGAAAGCAATTGCAATCTAAGAGAAAAACAGATGGGATGGCAGCAGAATAAGTAACAAGAGCTATAAGATTTGCCTACATTTGGAAACAGAAAATGAGAGTTAGATTTTGACAGAACCTGTGACTAAAACAAAGAGTTAAGTTAATTAGATATTTCTGTAATGTGATTATAGTGAATCGGAACGTTTGGATAAAAATAGTTACATGACTTATTATCTCTTTCCCCAAAATCTCTTTTACCTCAAATGAATATTTCTTTATAAACACACTGTTTAAAGAAGTATAAAACTGTGGTTATTGGGATAAAATATAGTATAGAAATAGATTTGCAGTCCTGCTTATTTTAAGGAAATGTTTGAACCGTGCTTATCAGCAAAAAGAAGTTCCTGCAGTGTTAGACACTGTTATTCACCAATTAACCATAATGAAAAAAAGACATAATAGAAAAAGACTGCTGCATTTGCTGAGCGATAAACTTAATCTTTAAATATAACTGTTATACAACATGAACTAGCATAAAATTAACATTAAGTTCTTGATTTTCAAAATCATGAGGAGCATGCAATTACTTCAATCGCACATGAAAATGACTATTTATGGCCAGTTACTCATTTGTGTGTTTCATTAGCTCATTTATGCATGCAATTGAGGTAATTGTGAATGTAAATTAGACACCCATTTGGCAAACAAATTGGGGGGCAGATTATCTGCTCGGAATCATACAACTAAACTCCCTTTAAGGCTCAAGGCCAGTCACTAGGATACAATGCTGTTCATGCAAGAGTGTTGGAGGAAATGAAGAAGGAAGAATGATTTGCAAAATGCTGCTTTTAAAAGCTGTTATATTGTGCTATTGTGTGGTTTCCACATGCGAGAAAATATGCTGCAGAAAATATACCTTTAGGAACCTTAGACCCTGAAGCTTTATTTCAGCCCTGGGGAAAATAGTTAAGTAATTTATAGGAATATTTGGCACAATGTCAGAAGGGAA